AGAATGTGTTTGGAAGTATTGTCTCCTCTTCAGTGTTTTGGAATAGCTTTGGTAGAATTCTTATTGGTTGGCATTAGTTCTTTAAATGCTTGGTGGAGTTCAGTAGTGAAGCCATCAAGTCTTAAACTTTTCTTTGATGGGAGACTTTTATTACAGCTTCTATCTCATTATTTCTGTTGGGTTTTCTATTTCTTCATGATTCAGTCCTGTGAAGTTGTCTGTGCCTAGGAATTAATCCATCTCTTCTAGGTTTTCCAATCTATTGGTGTATAGTTGCTTGTAATAATCTCTAATTAGCCTTTAAATTTTTGTGATATCAGTGTAATCTCCTTTTTTGCCTCTAATTTTATTTATTTGTGTCTTTTCTCTGTTTTTCTTATTCTAGATAAAGGTTTGTTGATTTTAACTTTTCAATAAACCAACTTTTTAATTCACTGATCTTTTTAATTGCTTTTTTCAGTCTATTTCATTTGTTTCTACACTGATCTTATTTCTTTCCTTCTACAAATTTTGGGTTTGGTTTGTCTTTTTCTAATTTAAGGTGCATCTTTAGATTGTTTATTTGAAATTTTTCTTTTTTCATGTAGGTGTTTATTACTATAAGCTTCCCTCTTATTACTGCTTTTGCTGTATCACATAGATTTTGATGTGTTGTGTTTTCATTTTTATTGCTTCAAGACATTTTAAAATTTCCTTCCTAATTTCATCATTGACTCCTTGGTCATTTGGGAGCATGTTATTTTTTATGTAGTTGTATAGTTTCCAGAGTTCTTGTTATTGATGTCTAGTGGTATTTCATTGTTGTTAGAAAAGTCCTTGATATGATTTTGAGTTTTATGAGTTTGTTAAAACTTGTTTTGTGTTCTAAGATACAGTCTACCCTGGAGAATGTACCATGTACTCATGAGAAGACTATGTATTCTGCAGCAGTTGGGTGAAATGTTCTCTAAGTGTCAAGTCCATTTGGTGTAGAATTTAATTCCAGTGTTTCTTTGTTGATTTTGTCTGGATGATCTGTCTATTATTGAGAGTGGGTGTTGAAATCCACAACTATTAATGTATTGTAGTCTATCTCTTCCTTTAGATTTATTAATATTTGTGTTATATGTTTAGGTTCTCCAATATTGGTTGCATATATATTTATAATTGTTATATGCATTTACTGAATTGACTCTTTATGATTATGTAATGACCTTCTTAATCTCTTTTATAGTTTTTGACTTGAAATTCATTTTATCTGATGTAAGTGTAGCTACTCTTGTTCTTTTTGGTTTCTGTTTGCATGGAATATCTTTTTCCATCTCTTCACTTTCTGTGAAGTAGAATATAAGTAAAATTAAAAGTCAGGTAGGATGTGATGCACTCTGAGAGCAGTATAAAGTGCTGAAGAGATCACATGAAATTACAATTATATTTGATTCTGGAAATTACGTAAAGCCTCTTGGAAGAGAACAATTTTATCCTAAGACTTACAGAATAAGCAAGATTTACATAGGTGAAGATAAAAGACAGACATTTTAAGATATAACTTGAGCCAACACATTGTGTCAGGAAAGTGGGAGTGTGCTTGGGACACAGGATATAGAGTATCACATGGAGTATATGTAGGTAATCAGTGAAAGGTAAGACCAGAAAGGTAGATTGAGGTGGGATCTTGGAGGATGGGGTATCCCAGACAGAATGATTTACCTTACTTCTTCACCTATTCTTAGGAATTCTTACAGTATGTAAAATATATACTTAGTTTTTTTCTATCTCTCCCAACTCAGTTCAACTATGAACGTTCCAAGGTCAGGGACCTATCATATTCTTTACTACTCTCCACGGTCCCCAGTGGTAGTCAGTGTGCCATTGTTGATTTTGATTGGTAGGCAAGATTTGGTCTGGTGTTTGTCAACTTCATTAATGGATTTGTGTGTTTTTGATCATTCCAGAAAAGAGAAAGAGCCAGTGGTTGCTGAGACAGTAGAAGAGAAAAAGGAACCTATCCTAGTGTGTCCACCCTTACGAAGCCAAGCATACACACCACCTGAAGATCTCCAGAGTCGTTTGGAATCTTACGTTAAAGAAGTTTTTGGTTCATCTCTTCCTAGTAATTGGCAAGACATCTCCCTGGAAGATAGTCGTCTAAAGTTCAATCTTTTGGCACATTTAGCTGATGACTTGGGTCATGTAGTCCCTAACTCCAGACTCCACCAGATGTGCAGGGTTAGAGATGTTCTTGATTTCTATAATGTCCCTATTCAAGATAGATCTAAATTTGATGAACTCAGTGCCAGTAATCTGCCTCCAAATTTGAAAATCACTTGGAGTTACTAAGTAATTTGGAAGAGAAACACATCAAAATCATTGTTTTTCCCTGAGTAAGAGGGCTGCTCATTAGACCTTTTGATACTTTACCATATGAAATACTATCAGAACTGTTCTCTAAACCCACTTTTTCTGTAGAGGAATGTATCATCTTTTTTTTTCTCATATTATGAATGGACAAATAACGGACTTTCTGTTTTCATATTTGCTGAAACCATTTTTTAAATGAAATTAGGTAATTATTAATTTATGAAAAGTTTTGAGAGGGCACTGTCATTAACTTGGGTTTAAGACAGGAGGACATTGCAAGTTCACACCCTTCATAGGCATAAAGTAGTTGCAAGAAAATATTTTCATCCTGTTAGGATTCATATCTAAGATAGAGTTATTATGCATTGCCCATATACAAATAAACTTTTATTAGATAGATACCTATAAAAGAAACATAAAAGTATGTTATGTATTACTGACAGTTCTAGATTAATTTCTTTTAGAATTAAAGTAGATTTGTTAAAGTGTATTGTGTGTTGTAAATTTTTTAAGTGAAATTTGCTGGTGTTCTGCCTTGCCATTTCGTTCCAGTAAGTATAACTTTGAAAAAATTAGAATATGTGCCAGCTATTGAGTGCTGTGACTCTTCCTCATAAGAGATGTGCCATATTCTATGTCTAATTGCGTATTCTCTTCAGAGGAGATGATGCTGATTTTAAACCTTTTTTTCTATAACTTCTAAAAAGTGGTGTTGAGTATTGACTAGAGTGGCAAGTCTTTGTATTTTAATGGACTTAATTTGTGGAAATTACTTAAATAGCAGGTTATCAGATAGTTCTGAATGACAAAGTTGTTAAATTCAGGATTATTGTTTTCAAGCTTTAGATATGGCTGGAGAGACAGAAAGAATGTCTTATATTGTTTTGGCTGCTGACAATTCCTAAAGAAAAGTGATAGAAAGGTTTTTAACAAAAGAAATTGCATTCTCTTTCCCAGGGTGACTCCTTTGAAGAGGGCAAAATTCAGTTGGGAATATAAATTCTGGAATCTTCATTAAGAAAATTAGTTGACAGTATAGACATTCCCTACAAATATCATCCGCAGGCACTTCATTCAAGAACTTCAGGTGTCAGAATGCCTGGAGCTCTGGAGCTTAGACATTAGAGTTGATCCCTTGATATCCCTTGGGGATTGGTTCCAGGACACCTGCTTGGATACCAAAGTCCACAGATGCCCAAACCCCTTGTATGAAATGATGTAGTATTTGCATATTATGTATGCACATCCTCCCATATACTTTAAATCATCTTTAGATTACTTATAATACTGAATACAATGCAAATAGTATTTACAATTGTGAATACAATGTAAATAGTTATGTAAATACGTAAATTGTGAATACAATGTAGTCATGTAAACATGTAAATTTTAAAGTTATGTAAATATGTAGCTATGTAAATAGCTATATAAATAGTATTTACAATTGTGAATACAATGTAAATAGCTATGTAAATAGTGAATACAATGTAAATAGCTTTGTAAATAGTTGTTATGCTGATTATTTAGGGAATAATCAGAAGGAAAAAAGTATACATATTCAGCATATTCAATACAGATGTAGTCATCTTCTCCTCCCCCCTCCCCCGAACATTTTTGATCCACAATTGGTTGAATCCACAGATGGGGAACACACAGATACAGAAGACCTACTGTATGTCCTTCTGCTTCTGCTGTGTAAAAGATTCAGCAAGGAATCATTGGAATTTTATGTACAGGATTTCATTATCTCATTTTCTATACAATTTTTCCTTCTGATCCAGAGACACAGAAAAACAAAGGGCAAGATGGAAATAAGGGATGAGGAGGTCTATATGGAAAAACAGTTACAACTGGAGAGGTAACTGCAAAAACCAAGCAGCTTCATGTGATTGCTAGGACAGAAGAAATTTCTCCTTTGTAGCCTAAAGCAATATTCTGAAAATGTAATGTGCATATTAATCATTTGGGATCTTTTATTTATTCATTTTTTCATGTGGGGATCTTTTAAAAATGCAAATTCTGATTCGGTAAGTCTGGAGTAGGTCCTGAGCTTCTGCATGCTTCAAAAGCTGATTATGTTTTGAGAACATGGATCTAGGTGCTAGTAATGAGGTGGGAGACAAGTACTGCCACTGGAAACAACAGCCCTGATAAATTTAGCCAACAAGGAGGGTAAACACATCCCAACAGGGAAGGTAAGCTGCATGTCCATCAGTACCTCTAGAGGGCATCACTGGTTTATAGTTCAATACAGTGAATATGTCAGAATAATGGCGTTTAGTTTTCCTGAAAGATTAAATTAGGCTTGCTGACTTGTTTAATGAGATAATCAAACATATATTGTAATTTTAAAGGGTTTACATTTTTAAAAATTTAATGATTTTTACATTAAAAAGGTATCAGTTAACTAATTTTACTTAGTTGGAACTTCTGTAACCTTAGGTATGCTTACATAAAGCCTGCTAATAGAGATTCAGACTCAATAGAATGGTTTTACATATGTAATATATGTTTTAAACAGCATAAAATAGACTCCTCCCTCTCTTAACGTGTCATTTTTCTGATTACAAAAGTAGCACATTGTTTTTAGAAAATTGGGGAATAAAAAAGCAAAAACAAGAATGAGAAAACCTATTTTGCTGCTCATAATTACCTAACATTTTGGTATATTTTCAAATGAAAAGAAAATTTTTCCTGTATTTTACAATTACTTGGCATCATGCTGCCCTTCACATTAGAAGCATTTCCCCATATTTTTAAATAGACAAGAATAAAAAATTTGATTAATAGCATATTATTGTGTAATTAGATATCATGCAATTATTTAACCAATATTCAATTGGCTATTTAAATTGTTCCCAGTGTTTTGCTTTTCTGTTCTAATCTTGCTTTTCTAGTTCTTAGAGAATTGGTCTGCCATAAATCTTTCTACCCAGAAGTAGAAGCTACTTGAATTTCTTGACCCTAAACCTAGGAATGAACAATTCGGTCCTGCTTCTTTGATTCATAATCCCATTAGCACATATTCTGTGAATCCTAAAACACAAAGTGACAAGGACCTTGAAATTTTCACTAGGTGCAAAAATCCTAAAGCTTTTACTTAAAAGGTTTCCAAATTTAAAAATAGTCAGTAACCTCTGATCCCATAGAATTCCAAAGTTAATCTTAGCTGTACAGTAACAGACTGGAGCAACCATCAAAGTTCTGCTTTCCATCATGAAATACCAAATTCAAAATATGTTAACACTGATGTAACAATAATATACTATCCGTATTCCAATTTCACCAATGCCCTGTAATGGCCTTTATAACAATTTCACCTCCAATCTAGGATCCAATCCTGGTTTATTTAGTTGGTCATTACTAATGTTTCTTGGTCTCATTTATTCTTCAGTAAATTTTTTCGAGTAATTGATTTCATATAAGTTATCAAATTAGTTAGCATAAAATTGTTCATAATATTCCCTAATTAATGTCAACTGGATCTATAATAACAAGCCCACTTTCATTTTGAGTTGTTATTTGTGTCCTATCTTGTTTTTATTTAATCCATCTAGGTTGTAGTTTATCCGTTTTTTAGCTTTGCCTTCCTTAAAAATTATATTATTATTCATCATTCAGTTTGAAATATTTCCTAATTTCCAGTGTGATTTCTTTTTGACTCATGACTTATTATCTATCTATCTATATATACACACACATATATAAAAATGTTTGATTTTCAAATATTTGGGAGTTTTCTAGTGTGTATTAATAACTGTTATTAATTTCTAATTTCATTGAGAATATATGATTTCAATATTTTTACATATATCAAGATTTTATGGTCTAACTTATGGCCTATCTTGTTGAACATGCCATGTACATTTGAAGTTGTTGAGGCGATTAGGGTAAGGTCATTATAGTGTTCAAATCTATGCCTTTACTGATTTTTTTCAAGTTTTCTACCAATTGTTAAAAGAGGGATTTAAACACCTCCACTCATGGTTACGAAATTGTCTATTTTTCCTATTTTTTTTTCTGTCAATTTTTGCCCCATATATCTTGAAATCCATTATTTGGATTTATGATTTTTATGACCTTGTCATATAGATATATGATATTTATAATCTTTCATTACTACTTTAGGTTTCTTATGCTTACTGTTGCATGGTATGTATTTTTTTCATTTACTTACTTGAATTCCGTTAATGTAAACTACATTAATAATTTTTCACCACAATCCAGACTCTCAGTAATCCTTTCCTTGCTTTTGTTTAAATATTTACTCCGAAAGTGTGGCCTATAGTTTTAGTTCAGCAAATATAAATTTGTAAGATTTATTTATGTGTATTTATGACTAGTTTCTAACAACATTATGTTTATAAGATTCATCCAGGTTATTGCATGTCATTGTAATTCATTTATTTTTATTCTCTAGAAGAGGAATTGCTGGGTCAAAAGTTATTCATATTGTCACATTTATTAGACATTGTCAAATTGCTTTCCGAAGTGGTGGTACCAATTTATATTCCCTTAGTATGGCTTCAGTCTGAGTGATTTGCTTCCTAACTAACTCTTATTTTTAGAATTTTTAATTTTTGCCAACCTTATAGGTATGAAATATACCCCATAATTTTAATTTGCATTTCTTTGATAATAAATGAGTTAAGCCTTTTCCCATATACTTATGCTTGTGTCTCATTGTCTGTTAAGTACCTGTTTAAGACTTTTTCTCATATTCACCTGAGATTTTTAGACATTACATTTTTAGGAATATTTTATGTATCCTAGTTAATAATTCTTAATCAATTGTATCTGTAGCATAAGTCTTGCAAGGTAGTAGCTTGTAGTTTTCAAGTATTTTATGGAGTATTTGACTGATCAGACTTCCTTAAAATTAAGTTGAATTTACCAGTAGTTTCCTTTAAGTTTGTACTTTTTAAATGCTCTTATCATCTCAAAAAAGATCCAAAACTTTTATAGAGATAGTCCTTTTATTGTTGTGTAAAATCCTACCAACACTCCATTCTATAGCTATTTCAAGAAACTGTGTGAATTAGTTGAGGAGGATTAGTGGGAGATTTGGTGCTCCCCAAATTCTGAAAGTGGGGCTTGAGTATTTTATTACTCATTACTGTGATCACATTTGTATTTTTCAGCTTTTGTTGTCTCAGGAAAGAAAACATTTGCAAATGCAGATCCCTTCAGAAGTTACCTTGAGTATTTTATTGCAGAAGAAAAATATGCCCTAATGGTACCAATAGGGGTCAAACAACTTCTATAAAGAAAATTACTAAAATATGTGAGTAAAATGTAGTGGCAATCCCTAAGAGGGAGGGATTTAGAGAGAACAGAAAATGAAGAGGGAAAATAGTGATACATTTATTGGGTTCAATAACTGTTAAAAATTAATAGGAAACTAGAGCAAGAGGTATGTGGTAACCTAGCACTTAAGTTAGCTCTATTATACTTCCAAAGGCATATTTGAGGTTTTGGCTTTCTGGGCAACTTTTGGTAGAGTGTCTGTCATTTTTCCTTTACTGCTGGAAAAGAAGACTCAAGAGGAAGAATCCAGGTACTTTGTATTTTAATCAGGACTGTTTCTTTTGGGCCGATTGGAAATAAGTTAAAATCTCAGCTCTTGAATTAAATCAGTTTATTTACTTCAGTGTTTAGAATTTTAGCAGTTCATGAGGACAAATAGTCTTTCTGCTCATTTCATAATCATGGCTGTAGAGTTGCCAGGAATGTTCAGATAAGTGTGTCTTTTCATTTTGATTTGCTTAGAAAGGATGTCAGTAGGGACTTGCTGTTATCACGATATTGAGCTAGAATTTATATTTCTGAGGAAAATGAAAGGCTATCAGAAGTCATTTGTTAAAACTTCTTTATTCTGTCTTCCCAGTCCTTATCAATATTTCTCCCTCTTTTAAAAGACTATTGCCTAGAATTTTATAGAATAAGCCCTCCTATTCTGGGGAACTGTATTGTGGTCCTATTTATATTTTGTTTGAAGGGTAATTTTCTTTTAATGTAAGACTAATACCATGTTAGAATTAGATTCTGTGAAAACATTTCTTGAACCTTTGAATATATGTTATACCTATTTATGCAATTCAGGAATGATTTCTGGTAGTGAAATGTAATGTTAAAAAATACCAAAAAAAAGCAAGTATAAGTTGAGCTAAAGTTAATGACTTTCTAATTGACTTATTTCTGTTTGGGCACACTGGTTGATGCATGTGATATTTAAATAGAAATAAATTTAATGGATAATGTTGTTACGGGTGGCAAATATCTGAGTTACTGGTGACAAATCTGTATGGGTCTGTAGCAGTCTCATTTCTTGCCTCCTCAAAAGAAAGAATTCAACTGAGGGGCATAAGGCAATAAAAGAGACCGAAGCAAGTTTCAGAGCAGGAGCAGAAGTTTATTAAAAAGCTTTAGAGCGGGAAAGAAAGGAAAACACAGTTGGGAGAGACCCAAGCAGGCATCTTGGAGGTCAAGTGCCTTGTTTAACCTTGAACCTAGGATTTTATATGCTGGCCTACTTCTGGCATCTTGCACCCCTTTCCCTTCATCCTTCCCTGAAGGTTTAAGGGGAACCATCCACATGCATAGTGCCCTGCTTGTGCTTGGGATGTGAGCATGCACAGTGTGTTTACTGGACTTTCATACATGCTCATCTGAGGCTTTCTTTCGAATTCTGGTGGCATGCCCCTGGAAGGTCATACTCTGCCATTTTGCCTCTTAATGCACATGTTCGAGCTCATTCGCCCAATTCCTGAAAGCTGCCAATTACCAATTTCAGGTGTATTTATCTATTGAGAAACTGTCTTTCCCTGGTGCTGACTCTGACCAATTGTTATTTTAGAGAAGCAGAGTGACCATCACCTGATAGTCACCTCACATTCTGGTGGGTGGGGGGAACTCTCTCCTGCCTGACTCATGCTTGACTAGCTACCTACTGTAACAATATGTAGAAGAAATACTATACCTTAAGCTTATTTAGAGTAGGAACTGCATCTTATCTGTCAGTGACTATGACATGTAGACCCTTGATAAATTCTTTTTGAAGTACTAATCAATTTGACTAAGAGCTGGAAATGTAGATTCCATTTCTGACTCTCATGTATTTCTGTATGACCTTAAGTATTCAATTCTTGATTACAAGAAAAGAAATGAAATGGTACTTGGAAGCTACAGTATCACATATTTTTAAGCTTCTCAGGAAACAGATGCAATGTTTACTCACCACTGAATTATCATTCTCAGCACCTCTCTCTCTGTAGGCTCATTCTTGTCAGCATGTATTTATGTCTGTGTCTGTCTCATCTCTCATCTATATATACACATATATATGCAACACAAACACTGTTGCATATATTTTCTTTTGCTTTCAATCTGTCTTTTTTTGACAATGTGTTTCTGAAAAATAACCACTTGCTTTTTCAACTAGTTTGACAATCTGTCTTCTTTTTTATTTCTATGTGTGTATTTATTTTAGAGATAAGATTTCAGCTCTTTCTCCCAGGGTGGAGTCAGCTCTTTCACCCAGTGGCATGATCACAGCTCACTGCATCCTCAACCTCTCAGACTCAAGCAATTCTTCTGCCTCAACTTCTCAAGCAGCTGGGACTACAGGTGTGCCCCACCACACCCAACTAATTTTTACCTTTTTTTTTTTTTTTTTTTGTAGAGATGGGATCTCACTATGTTGCCCAGGCTGGTCTCAACCTCCTGGAATCAAGTGATCCTCACACCTCAGCCTCCCAAAGTGCTAGGATTATAGGCATGTGTCACCATGCCTGACCTGTGTCTTCTAATTGGAGTGTTTGATCTGTTTATATGTAATGTAATTATTGATCCGTTTGGGTTTAAAACTCCCATCTTGGTAGTTGTTTTCCATTTATCCCATTTATTATTTACTCCTTTATTCCTCCTTCCCTGTTGTGGCAGATTGCATTTCCCAAAGATGTATACACAAATGCACATACAAATACACACATAAGGCCAGGTGTGTGTGGCTTTGCCTGTAATCCCAGCACTTTGGGAGGCCGAGGCAGGCAGATCATTTGAGGTCAGGAGTTCGAGGCCAGCCTGACCAACATGCTGAAACCCCATCTCTACCAAAAAAATAGAAAAAAATTAGCTAGGCATGGTGGGGGCACCTGTAATCCCAGCTACTCGGGAGGCTGAGGCAGGAGAATCAGTTGAACTGGGAAGCGGAGATTGCAGTGAGTCGAGATTCCACCACTGCACACCAGCCTGGGCAACAGAGCAAGACTCCATCTTAAAAAGCAAATACACATACACATTTCATCCACTTAAAAAAAAATGTACAATGTGATTGACATTTCTCCTACTGTTAATAGGTATCAGTGTTTTCTCCACTTGAATTTTGATGGGAGCTTGTGACTGCTATTAAATGGCAGAGATTATGCTATGTGATTTCCAACGCTAGGATATAAAAAGGATACAGCTTCTACCTAGCTTTTTCTCTCTTGTGTTGCTTGCCCTTCCAACCCAGCCACCATGCTGTGAGTAAACTTGCTCTGTGGTAAGTGAGCAGGTCTATGCAAACCTACCCCCAAAGGCCAAGGGAGCTGAGACACTGAACAAAGAGAGTGACCAAACAGTTTCTCAGAGAGAAACATTTAATAGGGGCTTACAAACAGAAGCTATGTCTCAGGTGGCTGTGAGACAAAGGATTCCCTCACTGTTACTCCCCAGACCCAGGGTTGATATACCATGGGGAAAGGATAATCATGCTTCAGCAGGAATATGTAGGAATTTGCCTAAGGGTAGGATTTATGGTAAGTGCTCTTATATAAGAGATACTAGATAAGGCAGAAATCTTAGAGGCATTCCTAGAAGTGGGGTTAATCGGATGTTAACATGGCAGATTAGAATCCAAGATGGAATTGCTATAACCGCCACACTCCAGCTTTCTAACCAGGCTCTTAGAATCTCACACACTCTCCTCTTCTTCAATGGTCCTTGAGTTTAGAGGAAGGGTGCTTGATATCATATAGCTTTAGCAGCAGTGCATTGGCAATGGGAAACAGATTGGGCCCAGTGGGATTTCAGACGAGGAAAAATGCATAGGCTTTCTTGAAGCATCTCTAGTCTTTGGAGTACCATGATTTTTATTTTCTCGGATGAAGTAAAACAATGAGAGATAAATAACATTAATATTCACACAAGGACTACAATCAAAAAGAGAATTTGTATGCCAGAGCAAAAAAAAAAAAAAAAAAAAAAAAAACCTATTCCATTAGGGAGTCAACTAAAAACAACATGAAGAAAATTAAATCTGGGTTTGCCTTTAGAGACTTCTTGTAGCCAAAAAAAATTTAGGATTTACTCCAAATTGTAGACAAGTAATAAAAACAATGGTTAAGACTAGAATCTAGGCCAGGTGAGGTGGCTCACGCCTGTAATCTCAGCACTTTGGGAGGCCGAAGCAGGTGGATCACGAGGTCAGGAGATCAAGACCATCCTGGCTAACATGGTGAAACCTCGTCTCTACTAAAAATACAAAAAATTAGCTGGGCACAGTGGCGGGCGCCTGTAGTCCCAGCTACTTGGGAGGCTGAGGCAGGAGAATAGCGTGAACCTGGGAGGCAGAGCTTGCAGTGAGCTGAGATCGCGCCACTGCACTCCAGCCTGGGCAAAAGAGTAAGACTGTCTCAAAACAACAACAACAATCTAACCATGGGTGTACAATAGTTTTTTTCTGAAACGTAATTTTTTTTCTAAGTTTATTTCTACCAAGGTTAAATTATTGTAGGACCAATTTATTTGCAAAATGAATTTTAGTCTTGGCTTATACTTGACCTGATTATTTGCATAAAGTGCAGCAAGAATAGTGATTGGCCATATAAGTTCTTTTAAAATTGGCTTTTTTGGAACTTTTAAATAAAGAATCTCAGATTTTTTATAGCCTTGAGGCTAACAAAGCCAGGGACTTGCCATCAGGCTGCAATAGCTGTATAAATTGGGTGAATTCTTCTAAAGATTTCCAAATAACTAGAGGTTCCTGGGATCACACCTGTAATCCCAGCACTTTGGGAGGCTGAGGCAGGCGGATCACCTGAGATCAGGAGTTGGAGACCAGTCTGGCCAACATGGCAAAACCTCGTCTCTACTAAAATATAAAAATTAGTCGGGTGTGGTGGCAGGCATCTATAATCCCAGCTACTCAGGTGGCTGAGGCAGGAGAATCACTGTAACCTGGGAGGCAGAGATTGCAGTGAGCAGAGATCGTTCCCTTGTACTCGAGCCTGGGCAAGAGCGAAA